GTCAGGGTTAGGGGGCATGGGTAAACTGAGCAAAGACGGAGGGAAGGAAACGGGAGAACAGATCAGAGGTGGGCGGGCGGGGTCCGGAGGAGGAGGAGGAGGAAGAGGAGGAGACAACGGAGAGGAGCAGGCAAGGACAGCAGCAGGAAGAGGAGGGGTAGAAAGAGGGGAGCGTACCTCGGCAAGGGCAGCAACTGAGAGGGAAGCGGGGGCTAAAGAAACCTCCATAGCAGGAACAGGTGGCGCAACCACCGAAATGGGAGGGAAAGGAGCGAGAGAGGCAGAAGTAGGGGCCGAGGAAGAAAGCGAAACCTCCTTTCCCGCCGGGGAGGAGGAAGGAGAGGAGCCAGGTTTACGCTTCTGACGTAAAGAGACAGGTGTCCCTGCGTACTGGGCAACGGATTCTAGCGTCTCAACAGGAGAAGCTGAACGAGAGCACACATGACGGCCGTTTGGAGAGCGATGGACATCAGCCCGCACCGACAGGCGGCGGGGAGAGTCAAGAGACGGAGGGGAAGGATGGGAAGGAGGAACGGAGGGAGACGAGGAAGAAGACACAGGAGACACGACAGACCGGGTAGAAGGAAGGGGAACCCCAGACAGAGGACCAGGAGGAGGATCCTTCGGGAGAGAACCCAAAGGAACAGAGGAGGGGGCAGTGGGTGCATCAGGGTCCAAGGCCCGGAAACGGTTGTGAGTCTGAGGAAGGCGGGAAGGACAAGGAGAGGAAGAGCGCAACACGCGAGCATAAGAGATATTAGCATAAGGCAGGAGCCGGCGAACCTGGCGTCTCGCCTCAGGAAAAGATAAACGCTCCCGGTGCTTCAAGTTGAGGATGGCTGCCTCAAGCTTGTAATGGACACACGCACGGGAGAAGGTAGGATGGGCCTCACTGCAGTTGAGGCAACGAGCCTGGGGAGAAGTGCACTCCGACTTAGAGTGACCTTCGCCACCACACAAAGGACAGAGAGAAACAGTCCCGGAGCAGCGGAGGGCACCATGCCCAAACCTCCAGCACTTGTTGCAGAGCCGAGGAGAAGGAATGTACTCCTGGACAGAGCACCTGGCACCAGCAAGAATGACAGAGGGTGGAAGGGTCCTACCATCAAAGGTAATCTTCACAACCCGGAGGGGTTGACGGCGACTACCACGAGGGGGACGAGTAAACGTGTCCACCTGGAGAATAGAATGGCCCTGGGCAGCAAGGATATGTCGAATATCATCGTGGCAGTCGCGCAGGTCCCGAACACCGGTCGCAACATGGGGCGGGAGCAAAATAGTGCCAACACTGGCATTCAACCGAGCGTTCTTCGAGACCCGAACGGGGGTCTCGCCAAGGCAGGATAAGGCAGCCAAGCGGGAAGCAGCATCCTGAGAAGGAGCAGCAACGACACGTGTACCGAGACGAGTGGGGTTGAAAGTAATGGAGGCATCCACGGAATCAATGAGATGTCGATGGAGGGAGAAATCGGCAGGAGGCGCAGAATCAAGAGGAAGGAGATCAAAATATTTGGCCCACGAAGCGGGACCAAACAAGGCTTGATAGGTAGCAGAACTGGAAGGAATCGAGCGAGGGCGGCCGTGACGAGGACGGCGGCGAGAACCCCCAGAGAGAGAGGGGTTAAAAGGCGCAGTAGTTACAACTAGAGAAGGAGCCGCGCCAGGGGACGAGGTAGTCACCACTGGGGGCTTGGGGCTCGACCCAACCACAGAGGAGGGAGGAGAGCCAGGGGAAGGAATCAGAGAGGCCAAAGGAGGAGCAAGGTCGGGGCCCAATGCAGCGGAGGCTACAGAGCCCGGTCTTCCAACACGGACCGACTCGGGGGCTTGGTCGCCCACCCCACGAGCCTGAGAAGGTAAACCAGAAGCAGCCGAAACAGGGGTCATCATCATTACGAAAAGAAGAATTCATTCACGAATGTGCCCCCACACCCAATGGAGCCACAATTAGAGGCAGGACACCCAACAAGAAGCTATCGCCGATCTTGCTGGGGCCTCCTAGGGGTGCGTCGTGCGTATACGCCCCACAAACGCCACCTTAAGAAACCGACAGTCCGTCGAGATCGGGTTCAGCGACGAAAGGGGGATTGACACTAAAAGGTTCCCCTCGCTCTCTACGTCGGGTACTACAGTTCTATGGGTGCAAGAGTATGCCTCCTCAAGCACCCGGGCGTCAAAATAGAAGAAGTCCAAGGGAAGAACCAGAACGAGCAAAAGGTCGGCTGGAAACGGCAAGCAGATAGGAGAAGAGGGGGAGAAAAACGAAACAGACGGAAAAGGAAAAGGTGCCCAGCAGAATTGGAGAGGACGGCAGCAGGAGCACAAGGCTAGAAAGCACAGAGGACTGTCCCAAGGAGCATCACACTCCGGCAGTTGCCCACTAAGCCCCCACACGGCGACAACGAGCTGAGCGGGGAGGGGGTAGTGGTGGCAAGAATATGCCAGCTCGACATGCTAGATTCTTGTCCTGGTAGCTCGTGAGGTAGCTAGTGCTGACCTCTGGTGAGGTGGTGCTCAGAACATCAGCGCCATCTATTGAGCTAGAAGCTGTACGTTTGTGTATAAGCCAGTAAGTGATGTTTCCTAGTGGTCCCATGTAGTGTCCCAGTACTGATGACGTGTCTGCTTTCAGAGTCAACCTAAGACTGCTGTAATGTATGAAGAGTCAGTCTACCCAAGGCAGCCAAGGTCTCTTCACCAGTCTGCTTTGCAAAAGCAGTGAGCCGCCGCCGGACGAGCACCGCAGAGTGTTCAATTGTCTGCCTGAGGAGTGGCAGTGACGGGATTCGCCGTACCCGGGGCTGGCTGGTGGAAGAGACGTCTGACTGTGGTGCCGAACGAGGAGAGTAACCAGCAAGTTACACGAGGCTCCTGCCTAGGGCTCGCAACCCTAGTATACGTCGTGAAGTGGCCTAACAGCGAGGCTGATACCTGCTAGCTAGCAGGGTACCGGCTAGCTACAGGGTGGACTGTGGTTGTGGGCCATCACGACGAGGCACCCAGTGGAATTGTGATTTGGCTGGCCTGTGGCCAGGGTAGATTCATCGTGGTTTCTTGGTACCTGCAGAGGGTAGTGCCACAGAATAGGAAATCAAGCAAGACTAAATGGAGTGAGCGTCACCAAGTATTCAGCGTCTTCAGAGGGAGACGAAGATGTAAATTGTGTAGTAATATTTCCCGTTTGTGACGTTTATTTATATATGGTGGTGGGAGAAGAATTATATATAGAGAAAGTAATAAACTTGTGTATTTAATGTACCTCCCTTGTTTATTTTTCTTGCATTACGGAGCTCACCCCTTGAAAGCCCCTACTAACTTAGGGCCGGATACCCAAACTCTAATACCATCAGAGAAGAACCCGGTTGCATCCCATTAGGGCCGTAACAGTGACAAATCTTTACATTTCTTAATCTGTCTTGTTAAGTGACTCTTAAGTCCTATAAGAGTTCTTTTCATTCTTCCTGCAGTATCCATAATGGCTGCCTGGTTAAGCCTTGTCGGGCTTGTAGTTGTTTTGCTCATAATACTGAACAATTACTGATGTTAGTAGCCTAGGGTAACATTTTGCAGTCTATAGGCTATAAACTTGGGTGTGGGTCAATAATGTGGGTGGACAAGCTTGGGTGTGGGTCAATAATGTGGGTGGACAAGCTTGGGTGTGGGTCAATAATGTGGGTGGACAAGCTTGGGTGTGGGTCAATAATGTAGGTTGACAAGCTTGGGTGTGGGTCAATAATGTGGGTGGACAAGCTTGGGTGTGGGTCAATAATGTGGGGGACAAGCTTGGGTGTGGGTCAATAATGTAGGTTGACAAGCTTGGGTGTGGGTCAATAATGTGGGTGGACAAGCTTGGGTGTGGGTCAATAATGTGGGGGACAAGCTTGGGTGTGGGTCAATAATGTAGGTTGACAAGCTTGGGTGTGGGTCAATAATGTGGGTGGACAAGCTTGGGTGTGGGTCAATAATGTAGGTTGACAAGCTTGGGTGTGGGTCAATAATGTGGGTGGACAAGCTTGGGTGTGGGTCAATAATGTGGGGGACAAGCTTGGGTGTGGGTCAATAATGTAGGTTGACAAGCTTGGGTGTGGGTCAATAATGTGGGTGGACAAGCTTGGGTGTGGGTCAATAATGTAGGTTGACAAGCTTGGGTGTGGGTCAATAATGTGGGGGACAAGCTTGGGTGTGGGTCAATAATGTGGGGGACAAGCTTGGGTGTGGGTCAATAATGTGGGTGGACAAGCTTGGGTGTGGGTCAATACTGTAGGTTGACAAGCTTGGGTGTGGGTCAATAATGTGGGTGGACAAGCTTGGGTGTGGGTCAATAATGTGGGTGGACAAGCTTGGGTGTGGGTCAATAATGTGGGTGGACAAGCTTGGGTGTGGGTCAATAATGTGGGGGACAAGCTTGGGTGTGGGTCAATAATGTGGGTGGACAAGCTTGGGTGTGGGTCAATATTGTGGGTGGACAAGCTTGGGTGTGGGTCAATATTGTGGGTGGACAAGCTTGGGTGTGGGTCAATATTGTGGGTGGACAAGCTTGGGTGTGGGTCAATAATGTGGGTGGACAAGCTTGGGTGTGGGTCAATATTGTGGGTGGACAAGCTTGGGTGTGGGTCAATATTGTGGGTGGACAAGCTTGGGTGTGGGTCAATATTGTGGGTGGACAAGCTTGGGTGTGAGTCAATAATGTAGGTGGACAAGCTTGGGTGTGGGTCAATAATGTGGGGGACAAGTTTGGGTGGGGGTCAATAATGTGGGTGGACAAGCTTGGGTGTGGGTCAATATTGTGGGTGGACAAGCTTGGGTGTGGGTCAATATTGTGGGTGGACAAGCTTGGGTGTGAGTCAATAATGTGGGGGACAAGTTTGGGTGGGGGTCAATAATGTGGGGGACAAGTTTGGGTGGGGGTCAATAATGTGGGGGGACAAGCTTGGGTGTGGGTCAATAATGTGGGTGACAAGATTGGCTGGAGGTTAATAATGTGGGCGACAGCTACTCACCGTTGTGATCCATTGCTGCCAGCAGTAGTGGAACTCATCACTGTCGATGACCTGATCCTGAAACACATCATGTATCATCAATACATAAAATCCATTTACCGTTAGTGAAATCAAGGATGTTTTTTTGACGATAGTGATGACAGTGATGGTTCTCATGGTAATGGTAATATCAGTAATAATAAAGATAGTAAAGATGTAAATATTGACGACTATCAAAAAACCGTCGTAGTAATAACTGTTGACATCACACGTCTACATATCCTACAGCGAGTAAAGTAGTCAAGAACATGACCAAACAAGAGGTCAAAAGTAAGTAATGTTCGGAATAAATAAGTTTCACTTACTAAGCCAGAAGCTCCACTCTCAGCCCTTACGTGACAAAGAAGCTGTGGTGGAGTGAGTGTTCTATTGAGGCATCTTTTTTTGTATATAAACCTCTCATTATATATCTAATATTCACCTGTTTAAGTATAAGTGAGCTTACTATGCGAGTCATTTAAGACAAGACTAACAAATTTTTGGCTTCATGTTTTTCCCAGGTTACTGAAATGTCATTTATTTGTCACTGTATGGAACATGAAATACAAAATGCATTGTACTCAAGTAATATATTTTATCGTAAGAGATATTATATTTTTTTAAATTTTTGTTTGTAAAATGTTGAAATAATTTGCTTCTTAATGTTTATAAGTGCATATGTAAACTGTGCGAGAAACTTTCAACAAGACTGGATTACAAACAAGGATGACATGTAAGCACAAGCTCAGAACTGGAGATATGAGATACGTATTTTATCTACCAAAATACCGCATCATAAATTCTGAACAATATCCCATTCAATTAACTTAATTTGCATCCCCTTCCAACCGAGTGTTATTTACTTATGACCAAGTATTGTGTTTCCTATTTAGTCAAATAAAACTAAATAAGTACTACTTAGCACCTCTCACAATATTTACGCAGGTTTGCGTTGTCTTCGGTGACTTACAAATTACAAAATAATGCTTAGAATTGCCAGATTGTGATTAAAGGAAGCTCAAAATGTACCAAAGAAATGAGCTTCCTTATGGTAGTAATTATAATTATACACAATATATAGACGGGACAAATGCTCAAAATATTTTCTTGGCCAGAAATGAAATTATCAAAATACATTGGTGGTCCATACAAGCACATCTTAGCTAATGCAACTATTTTTTTTAATGGTAACTGTGATTGTTGGGGATGTTAACGATGGGCTTTGGTGAGGTCAGCGATGGGCGTTTGTTACGTCCTCGGGTATCCAATAACCGGGTTCTTTATATCAAACACTGTATGTGGCCTCGTGCCTTTTATAAGATCCCACCCTGAGTCATTGATATGTTATTCAGAACTGGCAGTAACTGACAGTAATGATTAGTGGTTAACAAAATTGGGTGTAAACAATAAACCAAAAAAATATACCAAAAAAACGGCCAGCCTACTCCTGAAAAACTCTCCAGACACAAAGCAGAACGTCTTAAAGGAGACCAATGTCGTCTATGCCTTCAAATGCCCACTTGGGGACTGTATGCCTCAAAGAACTCAATATATAGGCAAGACAACAACAACTCTTTTTTCCAGGCGATTAACAATGCATAAGCAACAGGGCTCCATTAAGAAACATATAATCTCTTCCCACAACCAGACCATCACCAGAGAAATCTTAAACAACACAGAAATCATCGATAGATAGATTTATAGCAGGCGGTTTGACATCAGCGAGACACTACACATCAAAAAGTCAACACCAGCAATCAACAGCCAATTAATGCACAACTATCTTCTACCACTTCAAGACTCAATACCAATATAGAAGTATCAATAGGAAGTATGGGCCAATCGGCCCTTTGCAGTTACTTCCATTCTACCCTCTCATTTATCCTATTAATACCCAATATTCCGTATTCTGTCTTGTGTTGGTCAAAAGTTTGTTCACCTCATCTAAAACTGTTGAAACATATATACTCGCATTTGGGGGAGGAGATAAGACAAGCTGTTTAAGTATTAGCATAAGTAAAACTCTGTTTAGTGTTTTCTGGTTGCAGTTGTGTGTGTGTGTTAACTTATTACATTTTCAAAGACTTTAGTTATTACAAAACGCATTCAAGCATCGCTTCAGGCTAGAAATAAAAATGAATTTTGGAGAAGTGATTTTTCAATTACCATCGACTGTAAAAACAAATATAAGAGAAGATTCGTGTTAGAATTATTAATCTTACTTTTTTGGTCATATTTAAAAACGTATGTTTACAAGAAAGACTGCTACCAAAATATACTAAAATATATTATATTATATTATATTATTATATATATATATATATATATATATATATATATATATATATATATATATATATATATATATATATATATATATATATATATATGACAATGTCAGACCACGGAGGGAAAATGAAACAGGAATTTCCTTAAGTACTTTTGTATTTTAATACATCTTGAGAAGGGGTGAGACGACGAACTTGGCGTCTCGCTTCAGGAAAAGACAGACGATCACGGTGCTTCAAGTTGAGGACGGCTTCCTCGAGTTTGTAGTGCATACACGAGCGTGATAAGGTAAGGTGGGCTTCACCGCAATTGAGGCAGCGAGCCTGGGGAGAAGTGCACTCAGACTTAGAATGATTATCGTCCCCACACAAGGGGCACAGATACACAGTACTGGTGCATTTGAGAACATCGTGCCTTTACTTCGAACACTTACTGCAAAGTCTAGGAGAGGGAATGTACTCCTGAACGGAGCATCTGGCACCAGCAAGAATAACAGAGGGTGGAAGGGTCCTACTATCAAAGATGATTTTTACAACTCGAAGGGGCTGACGGCGACGACCACGAGGGGGTCGAGTAAACGTGTCTACCTGGAGGACAGAATGGCCTTGGGCTTCGAGGATATGTTTAATATCCTCATGGCAATCTTTGAGGTCCCGAACACCAGTTGCAACATGGTGCAGGAGGAGAACAGTGCCAACACTGTCATTTAACCAAGTGTTTTTGGAGACTCGAACAGGGGTCTCTCCAATGCAGGACAAAGTGGCTAAGCGAGTAGCTGCATCCCGAGAAGGAGCAGCGACGACACGCGTACCGTAACTGGCAGAGTTAAAAGTAACAGAGGCATCTACTGAATCAACAAGGTGTTTATGGAGGAAGAAATCATCAGGAGTAGAAGAATCCAGATGGTGGAGATCAAAGTATTTAGCCCACGTAGTGGGACCAAACAAGGCGTGGAAAGTATTATTATGTGAAGGGATCGTGCGAGTGCGGCCGTGACGGGGACGGCGTTGAGAACTCCCAGAGAGAGAGGTGGTAAAAGGCGCAGTAGTCAATGAGAGACGGAGCCGTGCCAGACGACGAGATGGTCATAACTGGGAGCTGGGAACTCGATCCTACCGCAGAGGGAGGGAGGGGAGCTGAGGGGGGTAGTCAGGAGGTCGGGGCCCAATGCAACAGGGGCTACAGGGCCTGGTCTTCCAACACAGTCCGACTCGGGGGCTTGGTCGCCCACCCCACAACCCTGAGAAGGTACAAGGGAAACATTATCTGCCATAAAAACGAGGAAAAACTTTCATTCACGAATGTGTCCCCACACCAGTCATGGAACCACAATTAGAGGCAGGGCACCCAACAAGAAGCTATTGCCGATCTTGTCGGGGCCCCCCAGTGGTGCGTCGTGAGTATACGCCCCATAAACACCACCTTAAGAACCGTGAGTCCGTCGAGAGTGGGTTCAACGTCGAAAGGAGGACTGACAATAAAAGGGTCCCCTCGCTCGAGACGTTGGGTACTACAGTTCTACGGGTGCAAGAGTATGCCCCTCAAACACCCGGGCATCAAAACAAAAGAAGGTCGAAAGAATAATCAAAACAGGCAAAAGGTCGGTGGGAAATGACAATTTGATAGGAGAAGAGGGGGGAGAACAATGAAACATGAGGAAAAGGAAAAGGGGTCTGGCAAAATTGGTAAAGGCATCAGCAGGCGCATAAGGCTGCAAAAGGGCAGTACTGACCCATGGAGTATCACACACTGGCAGCTGTCCACCAAGCCTCCTCGTGGCGGTGGGCCAGACAGTGAGGGGGAGGGGCTCTTTTTTTTTATTTATTGTTTTTTTTAAACAGCCCCATCTGTTGCACATAAGAGCAACACACGCTATACTATATATGTTACGATTACATTTCATTGTTTCCGATTGCATTGATAAATTCAACTTTCATAGATTTCTACTAATTTTCATTTTGATTTAATTATTTTGTGTGACACTGCCTTGGAATTGAGCTCTGTTTACTTTTCGTTCATTTTGTGAGTATAGCTTAGTTTTTTATTTATTAATTGTTTTTCATTTCGTTTTTTAACTTTTTCTTATTTTTTCAGTGATGGGAACATCAGATCATTTGATGTTCCCAATTGTCTGATGGGAACATCAGATCATTTGGGAATGCATTAGACATGTGAGTGGGGAATGGTGGGGAGGACGAGAGGAGGAGTGGGGAATGGTGGGGGAGGAAGAGGAGACAAGGGAGGGGGCAATTGTGAGAAAGGCGAGCGGACCTGGAGTTGTGACTGATGGAGACGAGAGGCCAGGGGAATGGAGAATGGTGGGGAGGTAGAGGGAACAGGGAAGGAAGAGGGGACAGGGGAGGGGGGAATGGTAGAAAGAACGAGAGGGTAGAAACGGTGGAGTGGGACATGTTTGGGAGGACGAGACGATGGAGTGGAGGATGGTGAGGTGGTCAAGGGGGACAGGGGATGGGGAAATGGTGGGAAGGACGAGGGGATGGGGAGTGGGAAATGGTTGGGAGGATTAGAAGATGGGGGAATGGAGAATAATTGGGAGGACGAGGGGACAGGGGAGGGCGGGAATGGTGGGGGAGAACTGGGCACAGGGGAAGGTTGCTGTGGCTCAGCATGCACATGCGTTGCAGAGCTATAGCAACGCATGGCTGGGTACAGCTAGTGTGTGTGTGAGTGTGAGTGTGTACTCACCTATATGTACTCACCTATATGTGCTTGCAGGATCGAGCATTGAC